AATTTAAAATAACCAATAGCAGGCTGGCTATTTCTCCCAGCCTCTGAATAGATAACTTGACGCTGGCTTTATACTGGGGCATGGGAGCAGCAGAGAAGAATCGTGGGCAAGGCAGTAGATGAGGATTGCGGGCACAGCAACAGAGGAGGAACGGGCACAGCAGCAGAGGGGGAACAGGGTGCGGCAGCGAGGGGAATTCAGAGCAGCTGTGTCTCTACTCCCCGCTTGGTGCCGGCTGCAGCGCTCTGTGTCCCCTCTGATAAAAGTGGACACAGACCGTAGCACGCAGCGGCTCCAAGAATCGTAGAGCAGAGCAATGGCAGCAACTAATCGAAACTCAACTAATCGATGAGAATCGTTGACAATGATTCTCATTATCGATTATAATCGATTATAATCAATTTGATTAAAAAAACATTGAAAACTGGGCCATTTATTTATTTGGTCTGTGGAGAAGGGTGTCCACACATTGGTGAACAGTGGAGGAGGGCCTCTACTGTGGTGATCAGTAAGGAAGAAGGCCAAACCCTTACTACGGTGGTTAGTGAAAAATACACAGTTACACTGGTGGTCAGGGGAGAAGAGCCCTCGTACGCTTGTGGTTACTGATAAGGACACCTTGTTACACTGATGATAAGCAAGAAAAATGCCCCATTATAAAATATGTTTTTATTTTACTTGCAAAGTTGCTTTAACTGACATCATATGCAGATCAAGAGTCACCCCTTTGATCAGCTATGAATGAACCAGAGACATTCCAATGAATCAATAACAACACTGCTACATTATAACTCTTCTTGAAACTGCAGAAGCTGTTCTGTGAGTGTCAATTTACACAGGAGCACAAATATCTGCTGCTGTGTAAAAAAAAAAGTTCTGGCTGTCAAAGTGACAGGTGGAAATTTACAGCAAATGCAACCCTAGATCGGCAGGGCAGGAGCAGGAGCTGGGCATGTTACACACACCCGAAGCATTTACATGACTTTTTGTGGGCGTGTGTAGCCCACCCAATGTCCATAACTGGTTAACTAATAAATTGTTGTTTAACCGCGTCTAGGGGTAAAGAAATAAACAGCAATAAGTACATTATTCCTTGATTTCCATACAGTCAGTGCTCTCCTTCGCGCTTCAATACTCTTGGAATGTGGGCGGCCCCTTTGACATCCTCACATACAATGCAGAACCACAAGTCGTTATGATGTCAGAGGAGCCATGACCAGACGAGCAGCTTCGGGGGACCTGTCATATGAAGGCGGTACTTTTTTTATGTTTACTGGAATTTATCATTAAGACAACACCATAGCCAACACGTACTGCAGCATCAAGGTACACTTTGTGTGGTGCATGTTTAGCCCACAGGAAACTGTCCGAACTATGTTGTTTGTCTCTCCCCGTCCTTCCCATCGGGGTAACACTGGTTGAGAAAGGTTGGTCTAGGTACAGGTTCCAGCAATATAAATCCAGCACTATTCCTCTATTAGTGAAAATCTGATCAGGGCAGTATTTGAATTTTAACACCTTTAACTGCCAGTAGTACCATTAAATATTTTTTTTACTAACTATGACCAAAATATCAACTTTACTATTCTATCGGTATAATTTATGCCATTTTTTTTACAAAATAAAGTTCTTGAACTGGAATGTAGTAAGCATAAAAATGTATGTATAAAACAGAATATAAAGCAGACAGCCTTACATGTGAGAACTAGACACAGAATTTCAAAGCAAAATGCCAACATCACAGCATTCTGCATGCACTCTAAGGGATGAGCTATGGGGGTGACTTTTATCTAATACTACAGGAAGATATAACTACTTATTGGCAATCACACATTTTGCAGTACATTGATATCAAATTAGGTTATTGCCAAGTGGCTTTTGTGCTCAGTACAATGAAAATAGAACATTTAACAATTACTACATTTCCATCCGTTTATCCCCAATAAGATTGACTACTAAGGAGCTCTGATTGTGTAGGAGAATTGTAGATTGGGCACCATAAGGTCCCTGCTTTTGCGGTAGATAGGGCAACACAAGGTCCCTGCTTTTCTCTTTGTTAGGAATGCTTCTACAGTATGTGCCCCTCTGATCTTGGTGTTAACACTTTGGGGGTTATTCACAAAGCTGCCGAAGGCAGCCAAGTGAATGACCCCAGCCGAAGTGAAGTGAGCCAAACACTGTTCGTCTATTCACTTCAGTCCTGTACGGCTGATTTCAGCCGTACATCGGCTAAAATCAGCTGTACATTGGCTGCCTTCGGTCAGCCAAACATGCTCAGCATGTTCAGCTGAGCCGAAGTGCAGAAGGAGTTCGACTCTGGATTGGCTGAGCTGAACCTCCGGCAGCTCACTTGCTGCCGTTCTCCCCTATTCTCATAGGTGCCAAACGGCAGTGAGTGAATAGCCGAATGCCGCACGGCTCGGCTATTCTGCTTGGTAGAAAATAAGTTGAAAGAATGAAAAAAAAAAGTTAAAAAAAATAATGTCAATTTTTTTAAAAAAATAGGAAAAATAAATGCAAATATTTTAAAGAAAAAGAAAAAAAAACTACATTTAAATAAAATGGCAATAATGATAATGAATGGTATATTAATAATGGTTTCCCCTACATTATGTTATGAAACATTTATTACTAACCAATTTTTTGGTAAAATATAAAAGATGGGGTTACGTCGGGTAAATAGACACTGAACATGTCAAGTCTTAAAATTGCATGCGTCCGCGAAACCAAAACTACAATACCCAAAATTGTTAATAGGCCACAATGTAAAAGCTTATATCCCTCATCAGTTTAGTGTTATCAGTGACTGATGGCCCTAGAATTTTTGCTCGCACTCCAACGTTTGCGGTGATATGTAACATGTGCAGCGCAATTGTCGTTTTCGATTTTTTTTTTTTTACACCTAATGTTATTGCTATCATATAAAGGACTAGCACGCCCCATGTGATAACACAGGCACACTGACAGGTCCTCTTTATGGAGACATCAGGGGTTTCTAAGACCCCTAAAATCACCTGGGGACTCCCAAAGAAGCAGATGAAACAGATCTGCTTTACCGGCTTCCTTTCTGGATATAGCAGCCAGAGAAATTACAGTTAAAGGCGAAAGTGATGTAATACACACCACTTCCGCATTCAGAGATCGGAGAGATCAGCAGGTGGGAGAGTGCTGATCTTTCTCCAATCTTCATGCTGAGAGCCACTGAGCCGGTCCCGGGCCCGCAGAGGGGACAGCGGAGCCCAGGATAGCTGGTAATAATGGTGGAGGGGGGGTGCACACTGTTGGCCACCGTACAAGCGATTAGAAGGCTATAGAGCCGCCCAAAAGCTTGTATGTAACAGCAGTTAATGGCTGTTTACAAGTGTCAGTGTGTTCTGCTGGCGCGGGCTAGGGGTCGCGCATGAACAGAAAAAAAAGCTGTATATTTATGGCGCCCCGCTGTAGGGAGCTTGCCGTCCATCCGTTTATTTACAACGGGTGGACGGCAAGTAGTTAAGGTAATGACTGGGTGACAGCAGCTGCATCTGTACGATAGATGCGTCCAGGGACAGTGATCTATTGCAAACTGCAAGTAATCGTATCACATACGATTACATGTGGACTGCCGCTTTCAGATGCGGCGGCTGTCACCAGGTCATTAACTTGAACGGGTGACAGCAGCCGCATCTAAACAGGAAATTCGTTATTCCTGCCTCTGGAATCTGTATGTTCCTGCCACAGGAATCCCAAAGTGCAAAGTGTGAATGAGGCCTTACTTTGTTACAATGAACTTTGCTTCTCTGCAGTCCTATAGTATTATTTAACTTCTACCGATCTGCCATCCCCCTGCACGATGACATCTTCATAGTGGCCAATTTTAATGGGGATAAAAGGGTGGGTACCTAGTGACTGGATTTAGATCTACTTTAAGGATGGAGTGAAATTGTAACTTCCAGCTTGTGTGTAATAAAAAGTAAGACATAACACATATTTGTTCAAAAAGTCTCAGTAGTTTTATTTTTTCATTTCTAGACAGTTTCTTTGTCAAATACAGTTTGTTTTCGTACATTCTAATTTTTATACACAGTAAAGCAATGCTTGCAAGTTATGGAATGTCTGAGTAATAATTCTGAAGAGACTATGGAGACACTAGCATATTATTTTCTTTAAAAAGGTTTATGGTGGTTTGCTTGCTTTTTGTTGCCTGCAAATCTTCTGAATATTCAAGCATTTCTCATGACAGTGTATTAACATGTACAATGTTTACAAGACCAGTATATTTAAACATCATTTTTATTTAGATCTTTACTGTGAACATGGCTGTGGGTCAGTCTGGATACAATATAGGTAGCAGTTGAGATGGCTTGTAAACCCGTATATTTTTATTGGCACGTGATGCTACTGATGGGATGTGTGTAAAAGTAAAGCAAAGAGTTTAGTAGCTCCTTACGTATATTTTCTGTAAATTAGCATTTTGTGCCTTGACTATACTTAAGGTGTTGGAGATGATTAAGCAAGGGCTCCTTTGAACAATAGCTGGTGCTAGTTGTATGTACCCCAATTATTGGTGTGTGTCTAGGGCAAGATTTCTCACATAGTGCACCCTGATTTAAATATTGACAGTTATTACTGTGTTGGTGGCAATGGGGATTGAACCTGTAAAAAAGATTGCATGGTTTGTGTTTTCCAAAGACAGCAGGAATGCTAAATCCAGTTTTGTATGTACCATTAATGTATGTGCTGCTCTTCTAATAACATAAGTATTTCAGCTCTGATTAATTATTGGTGGGTTTGTTGGGATAGCCAATTTAGGGGTACCAATTTAGGTTTATGTGGATGAATTATAATAGAAATGTTATTACACTCAAATGATCACTTTTTTTGTTCTTATTTTACTACTGATCTTGTTCTTGCTCTTTTTTTTTATTCCAGTACTGGCTGCTTGTTATTTCAGTGAAGATCTCAGTTTCCAAAGAGGAGGAGCAGGCCATCAATTACTGCTTTGGATGCATCTATTTATATGTATAATTATTTATGTACCAAAATATTCTAGTATCTGCAAGTTCATAACTGCAAAGACATAATCAAATTGACATTTGTGTTCTTTATACAAGCATAGACACAAGTGACAGTAAACAGAAAACCAGCAAAAGACCTTAGGCGGTCAGCCAGTCCCTTCTTTTAAGAAAGCTGCTTCTGAATATCTCAGATGTCTAGGAAGATTTGGGGGCCCTGAACTGTCTGTAGTGGAAAAGGCTCTTGGCATCCAGGTCTCCAGAGTATTTCATAGCTTCAGCGAACATTTTGACCACCTAGAAATTATAAATAGACCATGATGACAAATTACAGGAATGAAAAACAAAAATGTATAGGTATGAAGTCTTAAAGGAATTGTTGATATGCACTGTACATCTGAATTGTTAGCAGCATAGTGACGTTTATTGATTAAAGGAGAACTATGAGGACTCACCTCATAGTTCTAGCCGACCTGTGACAATGAGACTGTCACAGGTCGGCTCAGTAGATCGGGAGGTGAGCAAACACATACCGGCGTTCGCTCACCTCTCGATCCTGTCACAGCCCTCTGCCATGACAGGGGAGGGGCTGGATTCCCCCCTCCCCGCTTCGATCCGCCAGCCTTGACTGGGGAGGGGGCGGGTACAGCTGGCTCTGCCTCTGGATAGGCAGAGCCAGCTGTCACTCATGCAGCTGGGCGGATCCAGACATAATTGTCGGGATCCGCTTCAGCTGCGGGGTCTTAGTATACCGCTAGCTGTAGCTCGCGGCTTAGGGTGACAGGAGAACGATAGTTTGAGTCTTCCCGTTACCTTAAGGAGAACTATGGGGAAAGGCCTTAACCCCATAGTTCCCATTTAAGTGCACTAGAATATAAGAGAGAGTTCTGTCAGTTTATTATAAGAATTATGAGTTTTCAAACTTCTTGTCACTGGGCTTATTTACACTTATATAATTTGGCGCTACATGGAGCACTGGTGATGAGCAAACAATCAGACTTATGTTTCCTGTCCTACAAGATGAATTCTGGTTGTTTGCTGAGGTTTACTGCACTTTACACATTGCATGCTTTTACTAAAACCCCAAATATCGGACACACACACACGCAGTAGTAATTGGGAGAGCAATGCAGCGCTGGACAAATAAATGAAGAATTGTCAGAACTATTGGGCCGAAAGGAATCGGTTTCATAGGCCTAAACATGTCATTTTACAGAGGTGTCTATGGGCATACTAGTAGCCATTTTATCTATGTGCTATAAGGTGAAAATAAGTTAATTCTTCTCTTGTACAGAGACCTTCACAGAGAAATTAGGAATGTTAGTATAAACATTCTTCAGATGGTAAATTGTGGGGGTCTCAGACGCACATCAGTTAAAGACGGTGCCAGCCTGTGTGGGGCTTGATTGATTACTTTCTTGCCTCCCTACAAGAGATTGTAATTTCTAAAGAGTTTTTTTTTTCTTTGTTCAATGAATAGAAGAAAGGGGCTTATTTAAAAGTCCCTTATGAAACATTAATATTCATTGTGGTGATAATATTAATAACAATGTTATTATATTATTATATTATATGTAGCATCTATCTGCCTACTTAATTGCCTGATTTTAAGTAAAATTTTGTACATGTACTTTTATATATCCAAACTATATTCATTATATATATATTGTTTGAGTGTACCCATTGAAATATATTGTTGTGTATTACTAATAATGGGGTTTTTATATTTAAGTGCAAGGAATTAGGTGGTACATGCCAATGTATATTCTTTTCTTATATGTATGAAAACTTCTGGGTCTAACTCTAAACTAAGTACCTCATTTTCAAGGAATTTAAGGAGGATTGCTAATTGCTTCGAATAGACTGTTTTCAAAGTTGTAAATCGAAGAAGTAATCGAGTATTGTCAAAAGTTTATATTCATAGTTTTGTCCAAGGTCTGAGGTTAAAGGTTATATCACTGCCTTATCTTTAGAAATTAGTGAAATTAAATGAAATGCTCCCAATTTTTACATAGAACAATAGTGCCCCCTGATGGTGATTGTGAGGGAAAGGTCTATGACAAAAAGGGTATTTGATATCATGTTTCACGTCAGTAATCACGTGATAGATCAAACCAAGCCCACACCGCAGGGGGGATATAGAGAGGGGACCAGGAGCCCAAGGGAGATTCGAATTCCATCTTAAAAGAGAGTCGAACAAGACAAGGCAGTAAGCAAATACATGCCAAGGGGATAGGTCAGAAGCTGAGGACGGCTGTCCTAGAAACTGAACTAAAGATAACCTGACTATCCCTGGTTGCTGAGCATTGACTGCTGACTTCTTCCAAAACAACTAAGTTTAAATTGCTGGTAAAGTATACTTTTTATCTGTATATTAGGCAATTCATCAGCCACATATATATATTCGGGTAAACCATTGAGTTCTTGTAGGATCTAGGTTGATCTGAGATAATTTTTAACTGCAGTAAAAATTGTGTCTTTCAATCTGAGGAGATACTTATATACTTTTGTTTTATACATTTGTATAATCTCCAGGAAACTGATTTTTGTTTCTAGTCAATGGTCTAGTCCAGGGGTCGGCAACCCCCGGCACGCTTGGAAATACATTGGGAATCTCCTTAATTATAGATTTTTAATTGTTTCCATAAATAGAACTGTATATCAGAGCAGTATAAACATTCTGACAGAATCCGGAAGACAATAAATATAATTCTGGAGCCAACAGGCATTTCCAAGATCCAGGAAATATGCCTTACTTGACAATGATACAACTAATCAAGTGCATTCGTTTTGCAATCATGTTGGCCACTTGGTATTTTGAATATATTTAGCCCTGGATTATGGATATCTATAATATGTGGACATTATTGTACTGTTTTGGTTGGTTGTGTATGATGACCTACCTGGAAGTTGGTGAGTAAAGCGGTGCCGGTGTCTACGGCAGTCCTCCTTATCACAAAGTTATCACGTACATATTTGGTGTTGTTGTTGGGTAGGTTAATCACCAAGTCAATGTTGCCTTCTTTAATCAGCCTGTAGAAAGATAGCCAGCACAGGTCAGCCACATAATGTATCTAAAAATACTTTAGATTCCAGAGATGGTGCCAGTACCCCTTAACTGCCCATTTATGCACGAAGAGCATTCTAACCATTGGCACTAACAGGGAGAACACAGCTTGCATTTTCCAAAAAAAACCTACAAAGGAACATGACTTCCATATGTTGTGCCATGTTTCTTTAGTGTTTCATAAAGTTATTATGGTGATTAAAAAACATATTACAATTATCTAACATACCATGTAACTATACCATATGGGTCGAATAGACTTTTATGGTCTGAAATAGCTAGAGGTAGAAGAAATGCTCAATGAAAGATCTTTATCCTGGATGTTGTCTGCTACTTGTCAATGATAGCTTAAGGTAAACTTTGCCAAGCAAAAAGTAAACCACAGTATATGCTGTCTTAAACATGACTAAGGTAGCTCAGAGGTCCCCTTTAATTAAACACCTTTAGCAGAAACCCAATACCAACCTTAACCAAATAATACACTACATGCAGTTAACATCAACGGATGGTCGCAGGATAGTGGAGCTCCGGCACAGCTGAAATCCTAGGGCTGAATCCTTAGCACAGAGGACTCCCATGATACTACCCATGTGTGCCCCTGACCCCAGCGACCGTCGGAGAGAACGAAAATCTAAGAAAGGCCCTCGGAAACTTACTGAATTTTTCCGCTCGACGGGCTCGCCGCGGACTCAAGATGGCGCCGGCTCGTCCAGCACCCTGTCCTCTCTGCAACTCTCCGACAGCCGTAACGAGCGGGAGCCGAAAGGAGGTGGGTCCCAGGTGACCGCCAACCCGGCAAAATCCACGCCCAGGCTGGACTCTGGGGGAGCGCAGATACGGCCTGGGGAGGGGGACGAGCGGTCTGGCCCTACTGTGCATGTGTGTGAGGAGATGAATAGCACCATTGAGGATTGTCCCACTGCTGATCGCCCCCTGCTGGACACTACCCTAGGGGACGTGCTTGTGTCTCTTGGGTGCTCCCTGCATAGAGATGTGCTTTTTGCTGCTGAGAAGGGATGTTGACGCCCTGGGAGACGGAGTCGTCCACGTCGAGGACAAGATGGGGGATTATGCGGAGGCCCATAACGATCTTCTCGTCTACCAACTGGCACAGTCAGGTTCTCCGTTGGGGATTAATGGCGGTTAAGATTGTACAGCGCTCCTGCACTTGTATCACGCTGCCGTTCAGAGGCGACACCCGGAGCTTTAGGAGAAGCTGCAGGCTCTCTACATCCGCGTCTTGTCACCGTACTGCTCTACAAAGATGGCGCCGGTGTAGTCGGCTGCCGTCACGACTGCTCTGCAGTCGTGTAAGCATTTCACTGCATATCATACTTGTACGATTGTGTATGTGACAAATAAAATCTATCTATCTATCTATCTATCTATCTACATGAAAGGAGGAGTTTAAATGGCCACAGCAGCCTTTTACAAAACTTTATAAATAACATTTTTTAAATAAACAACCAATAACGACTGTATACACAATTGTTTGGTTTTGAGGTCCTTAAAGGCACTATAACTCTATATATCTATATATACACAGACCAGTATCGCAGGGCACATTTTATACCTGAATGCCCCCAGCCACCACACACCGCCTCGGGGACGTAATTCAAATCTTGTCATGTAGGCTTTACGCTTAATCGCTTTTATTCCATAGCTCCAGGCCTATCTTTATGGGACTAATTTACTGGATCTATTTTACCGTTTTAAATATTTGACTTACTTGTATATTGAGTTAGGGCTGGACTGTCCTTCCTTGGAGGGCCAAGCAACAGGGGTGGCAGGGATATCATTTGCATTGAGCCAGGTTGCAGTGGCCTCTGTAGCATATAGCTGTATAACAAAAGATCAAAACCAGGTAGCATGTTACCAATTACCAGCAGCATTGTTAGTCCTGTGTACAGTATTTATTTAAATTATGCACATAAACCTTGACTTCATTTCATCATGTACAGGTTATACTGACTACAGCTATGTCTTATTTATCATATTAGAGCATTCTAGTTTTATTATATATAAGTTTTATTATAAAATTACGACTGTGATCCAGTGCTGCGTACACAAAACCTCTCTGGAAATAGGAAAACTAATAGGAAAACTAAAACGTGTAACATCTGTGCTAAACATGGCTAGCAAGTGTTACTTTAAAGCTGAACTCCAGACAAACAGCTAAATAAACAAATAAATACCTAGGGGCTGTTTTTTGTGCAACAGGATTTGTATTTTTGTCCATGTAATCCTGAGGTTTACACAGTTCTGCTCCACAGTGCAGACCTGTCTAACAAGAGAGGGGAGATAATCTATTTCAGTTGCAATTTCACTAACAGGTACCCTCGCCACCCCTACCCTGTGATTGGACACAAAAAGGAGAAGTAGCACACTGATGTAGTCATATCTCTGTCACACTGTTTTCTCTGCTATAAGCATTCTCCTTGTACTCCTTGTTGCTCCTCATATTGTTTTTTCTACCCTCTCCCTGCTGTACAGGCTGCAATAGGCTGATATAGAGTCAGATCTAGGTACTTACGCCGCTTGCATTAAAAAAAAATCATTTAATGATATTTTAATGATTCGTGTCTTTTATATTTGCCTGGAGTTCAGGTTTAAAGAGCAGGATATACTTTTCCATACCTTGAATCCTTCTTCTTTGAGTGTTTGAGCAGTGCCAAGGAAGTGAGGTCGGAAGGAATGCTAGAAAAATTAAAGGATATAATTAGAGATACAGCTTTATGCTATCTATGTTGCATGTGTGCAACTGTGCAAGGTTTAGGACTCCCTTGTTATCTGGCAGAACTCAGAGCTGTGAAATTTGCTACATGCATTTGCTCCCTTGCCACCAAACCACAATAACATTGGGATGTGTCAGCACTTGCCTGGATTCCAATGAGAATTCCCTTCTGAGGCAGCTTGAAGCCAGTGGAGATCATGGCCTTCAGGAATGCAGAGTAGATGTTTTCTCCAAAGCAGGCCACCTTTTCAGGGCACAATAAAAGTACAGTTATCTCTGTATCAATTAAATATACTCTTCAGTCAAGAATGTTGGATTTGAAGTATCTCATGGGACAAAGCCTACTTTTTGAATGTTTCTAATTTTCATTTGGCCATTCATCTGTCACATCTGGTTTTCCCACTAGCTACAATTCCTGCTTTTAAAGCCTAAAGCTGCTGGTATTCTTATCTTCATACCAGGGACTTCTCTGGAATTGATCTGGAGACTCAATCAATAAGACTGCTAGGCCACCGAGCCTACAGGAGTTCCCTTTGAGCCAGGCAGCTGTCTGATGTGGTATTGACACCAACTGACTGGGTTCTAGTTACTGTCCTTGCATTTTGTTGCCAATATATTGCTGCCACTGACTGTTTGTTGCCTGTGTATTGTCTTGATTGCCTGTTTGTTACATGTATATCTTAACTGCCCATTAAGTACCCATGTGTTGCCACAACTACCTAATTGTTTGCACATGTATCACGTTTGCCAGTTTGGTGCACATGTATTACAACGATTGCTAGTTTGTTGTTCATTTATTGTCAAAATCGAGTCTGTTACCGACATTTGCTTCACAGTTGCTATTATATTGCTAATGTGTTGCCCATGTTTTGAAAGTAGCATTACTTTAGGAATCTTGACAGGAAATGAGCAACAATGTGTTTTACGTATTTCCATACTTGCCAGTGTTTTCCCACATATTGCCAAGTAGCAATACAGCTATTAACCCCCTGCAGGCATGCCACTGTTCCCCTAAAAGCATTGATAATTTGTCCATACCCTCGGTTTGCCAAGATGCACCATTTGGGCTTACTACCACCCCCTCCCTTCCAAGACCTGCAGAATCTCAAGCTTATGGGGTTACAAAAGTTCAGCAGAATATCTTGTGAAGAACTCTTATTGCAAACCTTTAAAAATGCAGGCACATTATTTAGGCATCACTTACTTTCATTCAGCCCACTGTAGCCTGAGCTAAAAGTTTAGGTCTCCATTGTGCCACATTTGTGCCAACCTTTACATTTACAGGTTTATCAATACAGTACCAGCAGAGAACACAAACCAACAATCTAACATCTGGATCAAATACAGCTAGTCTTGCCAGTATTGAATATCTTAAACATTATGTAATAACTGGCAAAACAATGTGTAATTAAGATTATCGTGTTGCATGTTTTGAGCAATGGTGGCTAAGTGGCTTGCATTATTGCCTTGAAGTCCTGGGATCATGGGTTTAAATATACCAGGAACACTACATTGGTTTCCTCAAGGTACTCCAGTTTTTCTCTATTGCTTAAAACCTACTGATACCTAGTTCTTTCACTTGGTGAATACTAGTGGGACTACACCTGCTCCTAGGTTTTTGGGTATTCCTAATATAACGTGGCAAAATAGTAAGAAGGTCAAATCTTGGAGTAAAAAACAAAATATTGTACGATGTGTTAAGGAGTACAGAACAGAATTCATTTGTGTCTTCCATACCTACCAATATCTATCTATATGAGCGTTTCGTTTTAGGAATAAGTAAATACTTTAATGTTTATATTCTGGGCACAGGTGTACTTTAAAAAAGAGTAGGCATATGCCAAGCTGTGTGAGAGCACATAGTCGCAAAACACATAATGAGTTTAAATTTTGGCAATAATATCCTCATCTTTAGGCCACATTCACACAGGTGCAGGGGCCCATACGGCATGAAGAATGTGTGTATTTTATATAGTTGGGAGGTGTCCCAGACTTACAAGTGTTTATGTACTGCTTGTGCAAATTAATAACTGGCTGACAGATGCCACTACTGTACGCATTTATCCTGCACATTGAGTAGTTATATGCATACAGGGATGGATATGAGGTGCTGGAACCAGACAGTTTGCATCCAGGGCAGTACGAATATAAAAGCTCAGATGTGCACAAAGCTGCGGTGTATGTCGGCCTTAAAGGGTAAATAAAGGAAACTAGTAAGCAAGGGCATGAAATAATATTTGTGTTATCAATCACTTATACTGAAGCACATAAAACACATTCCAAATGTAAGCTGCAGAAGATTTTTTTCGAGATAATTTTACCTCACCAGTGGAAGCCATCTCACACCTCAGAACTGGATCAGCTCCTCTAAGGCGGGGCCAGGAAAACATGGGAGCCTGTAAAATATTTGGTCAAAAATTAAATGAATACAAAAGTAGTCTCAGTTAGTTTTCGGTGTCAAAACAATTCAGGACCTTACCTTGATGCCCACATAGTCAGCAGGGATAATAGGTCTCTCTAATGTTGGGAGGTGAGACTCATCAATTGGTTCTCCAATCATGACTTTAGTGGCCACATCAATGAAGTCAACACCCAAAGTCTTGGACACAAATGGGAAGGAGCGAGAAGCTCTCAGGTTACATTCAATTACCTAGGAAACAGGTTATCCTGGTTAACAGCAAAATTAATATCTGAAAGCCCATAGGGTTTGTATAGACATGCCCCAAACCTCCCTTTCCCCATGTACAGCTGCCCCATGGGGAAAAAAATCATTTTTTCTATTCTGTAGCAAGACAGATTACCCCATGTGACATCATCACTAAGCTTCTAAAATTCTTGCAGGGGCAGCTGCTGGGAGCCCCTTTCCCATTAACATAGGCATGCTCACAGTGCTACATCTTCTACAAGCCCTTTCCCTACACACAGTGTGTGGCAGACTGTAAAGAACTTACCCATCCTCCGGTTCCGGGTCTTCCCGCGGCTCTGCCAGGGAACCAGCGACGTCATCAGCAAAGACGTCAGGCGGCTCCTCCCCTTCCTCTACTTAAAGCCGACGGGTTCACTTGCCTGGTGTTCGTGCAAGTGTGTAGGACGCCAGGCAAGGACCTCCTAGTCTCCACACCGAACCTGTTACTATTGGGCCGGACAAATGGCCCCTCTATCTGGCCTCAGCAGCCACTTCCTCCCACTCAACCCAGGCATACTGAAACTCTTTCCAGTAACTGCACTCAGTTAGAAACAGCAAGGAATTCCCTTTGTATGGGGAAAAACCAGCAGTTCATTGAATAGCCTCCAGGTGGCACCTTGGGACCGGATCCTCATAAACTGCAAGTATATAGCAGCAGCTGTTTAACCCCTTATTCAATTGACTGTTTCAAGCAATTACTTCCTATGAGATAAGACTGTATCTGTACCTTATGCCACAAGATACCGGGTTATTAATACATTGTTACTCCAGATAAATAACCTGCTGCAACCTGATACTCCTTCCACTGACTTTACCAGTTTGCTTAAAAACGCCATACGATTCAATCAGCTCCACCAATACTGAAGCTGAGATCCAGTTCAACTCAACCAGATGGGCCTAGTCTATTACACAGGTTCTGTGGAGTGAAAGCAGCAGCATTGTTTTGCTGAGAAGTAAATCAGTGTATGCATTGTCCTGGCACTCTGTACAGTGGCCTTCTCTATGAACGCAATTAAAGATATAGCATATTTTAGCATATGTGTGAGAACAATTAAATATGGTTGGTGTAGGTGGTGATTAGGGATGAGCTCAGGTTTGGACCAAACTCAGTCTGAACTGAATCTCCTCCCAGCAAAGAAGTGCCATGGACACTTCCATCCAATCAGCTGCGGACAGGGCATTCCCGCCCCCACAGCTGCATGTAAACAAAGGGGCGGGGTGCTTGTGCTGAAGTCATTTACCTTACATGGCTACATAAATGTAATTGACCAAATATAGGCATGTAGCCATATAAGGTCAATGATGTCACTGCATCCTGCCCCTGTGCTTACGTCAAGCTACGGGTGGGGAATTCCCCGCTCACAGCTGATTTGGTGGCAAGGAAAGAACTTCTTACATGTTTGGGAAGAGCTCTGGGCTCGGAGGACCTCAGGTTCTGGCCTGAGTTGGATCTGAACCTGAGCTCATCCCTAGTGGTATTACTATTTAACATGCATAGGAAGATGCATCCCATAGAAGATTTTACATGAAATACAATGTAACCAATAAAAAGTCAATTTCAGTTTTTGGAAATGCTAGCACAAGAGAAACACCCATTTTTAACATTGCTAATGTCCAGTTTAGCTAAAAGTTAGCAGATAAACTAGCCATGTGTTGGAATGTGGTTTTGAGCAACAGAAAAAGTAAAGCTAATGGAACCTTTACACAAAATGGCAGATAGTCTTTCACAAAACTATGAAGGCAAAGTCTTGCAAGTCTATAAATCCATCACAGCATATGGAATGGGATAGTGAGGGGCAGGGTAGGCAGAGTTCTGTAGGCCAGCAGGCAGCGCTGACAACACTACTTAGGTTTCAGAGCAGCAAAGCTACTGTGTTGTCGGCTAAAACAGAAAGTTAGGAGCACATTGTATTTCTGGCAGATGAACAGTTATTTTTCGTTACTTGCAGCATTATAAAAAAGGATCAAACATGGGGATTTTTTTTGTTTTCTTTTTTTGCCCTGACATACACTTTAATAGGGAACTTTGTGACCTGAAGCTCAGTGAATAGAGGCACACAAGATCAACAAGGTACAAGTCTTTTTAACACCTCTGCAAATTATTTTCTAGGAAAAAATATGTCATCACTCGAGATCTATACACACCAAATTCTATGACAATCATCTAGAATGTCCTTCCAGCTTCATACAAAATGGTACTTATACTTCATTGAAGTTACAGCTGCTACTTTAGCTAGTAATTACAGTTTTCAGTACTGACTGAAATCATTTATCAGAGCAGCAAAAGAAATCTTTCACACGTTTCTTACAAAAAACACGTTATTTGGGATTGTTTTGAATCTTTATGGTAAAGGTAGCTTTCTTCTGTCCATCCATTGAGCATGGATGTATCAGTACAGTACAGTTCTTGAATAGTCTTTATAATATCACAATATCCTAAAAAGTAGAAGCTAATTGAACTATGTATTATACTGACTACATTTGCACTTGCTGGGGGGGGGGCCTTCATGGGATTCTTGCATGGGGACCTGAGGTCACTAGTTACGCCACTGCTTGCATATGATTATACTGTGCTTTTTCTGTTCATATAAAGTTTAACCATGGCAATGGTACACTTTTTTTTCTTTGAAAGCATATTACTAGATGGGTTAGGAAAATATCTATTCTTACAATGTGCCTTTTCTCCAAGAAAAAATGGAATGTGTATGCTATATGACTCAGGGCTAATCAGGGTTTTTCAGATCTTAAAGGGAAAGTATAGCGAGTGATTGAAATCATATTTCATGCGACTTTCACATTTTACTAGTTTGTTCTTTCATATTTTTATTGCATTAAAGGAGAATTATGGGGAGAGTGAAATACACTCATCCCCATAATTGGAGCCCACGTGTGACACTGCAGCTGTCACACGTCGGCTCTATTGATCAAGGATTGAGAGATCACATACCGCTGATTGCTAAGTTCCCAATCTTCTCCCTACAGAGAGTGGATCTGTCCCGGCTGAAGCACGGCTCTTCGCTGTCAGCATATAGCGCAATAGCCCACTATATGCTGAGTTTTGGGTTACAGGAGGACAAAACATAACAGTCATAATTTCCACACCGCAATGGGTGTGTATATTATCACTAAAAAGCTGTATGTTATGTCTGGGGGGCTGCTGCAAAGAATAAAAATCTTACCTTACGGCATGCACGCTCCTACACACAATACTCCTGGCTACTATGGGGATTGAGGGATGCTACTTTCCTATTTATAAAATGCCTTGCTTTTTTTTTTTTAAATACAGGGCGTTCTGTGATTGGAGGAAGAGAGATCATGTCACATCCCATCCCCTCCTCTCCCCCTCCAATCACAGCTGCTGGAGACTGCTCTGTCCAGTGTGATCTTGTACTGGACAGGAAGTTCATGACTGTTAAGCTCCATTCACACCTAGGTGTCAGCGTTTTAGTGCAAATTAGCACACGTTTTGTTTAGCGTTCCGTCTAGCGTTTCTTTGCACGTTTTGCAAATTTTTGCACATGCTTGTACACGAAGATGTGCATTTTATTGAGCATGCGCAAAAACGCACACAAAAATTTGCAAAACGTTTGTGTTGCGTGTTTCCATTGAAGTCTATGAGGCCAAACGTGCCGTAATCTGCCAAAAAAAGCTCATGTACTTTTTCCAGCGTTCACGGTTTTAAAGCTTGCGACAAAACTCAGGTGTGAAAAGGGGTCATTGAAATTAATAGGATTTCTTGTGTTGAGAGTTTTGTCATGCTTAGCTTTGAGCGTCAAAACGCCTAGGTGTGAACAGGGACTAAGTGCTTGGGCCAACATGTAAAGAAATACTTTGTTGAACAATGTACTGTTTGTTTGATCTGGATTCATTATTGGATGAAACAAAGTTTGAGAGTTTAATACTACTTTAAATGTGACTAATTTAAGTTAAGTGCTCTGATTACACACAACCCTCTACTCTCTAATGAATGTTAATGAGTTTAAGCCTGTGCATTTTTATATCAGCAGTTGCGCATCCAAACACCTGGCATTATGTGCTGCCCAGCTACACAGGACTTCCACAAAGCAAATTGTATTGAACAGTAGCATCTGTGTAAGAGCAGGTTGCCCATTTATTAGTTGGATAGAGTTCTGTGCTTACTCATTGGGGTCCATTCAGACTGCACATTGCGCTAATCCTACATTAGTGTGCACTTGGCACATACTATCGCACAATTCAACTAGCGTGTGGTACCATGCACTTGGTGTGTTGCACTGCAATTCATTTCAATGGCACCCCAACCCAGCAGACATGCGTTACAGTGCAGCATGTGGTGCCACAATACTATGCATGAACCATGCAATGTAACACATGGTATTGCAGTAACACCTGCTCCACTGCAACTGTCTCTCCTCACTCTCTCTCCTGGCTGTGTCTTCTTACTTGCTCTCCTGGCTGGGTCTCTACGCTCATCCTCCTGCCTGTCTCTCCTTGCTCATCCTCCTGGCTGTCTCTCTTCGCTCATCCTCCTGGCTGTCCCTCTTCGCTCATCCTCCTGGCTCTCTCTCCTGGCTGTCTCTCCTCGCTCTCTCTCCTGGCTGTCTCCCTTCACTCATCCTCCTGGCTGTCTCTCCTTGCTATCTCTCCTGAATGTCTCCCTTCGCTCTCTCCTGTCTATTCTCTGACAAAAAGTGTTCAGGTTTAGCTTGAAGAAAAGGTGGCAACCCTACTGCTACATGCCGATGCCCTTATCTAACTATGGGTCTCCTAGACAGGATCTGGCTTAGACGGCAGGCTTTAGGTCACATAAGGGAGTTGAAGAGCAGTGATTTGTTTTATTTGTAGCAAAAATATGTACTTTGTTTAATTTCATGGTAATTTCCATATGTATTCACATTCAAAAGGAAAAAAATAAGAAATACTGACAAAATGATTACCTCTCACAGCAATTAAATGGAGATACTAATTCTGCCATGGGTGATGAGAACACTATAAGGAAACTTAGGCCTGCATTTTACATTGCTGCAAATACGGGTCATAAACATACTTTTAAAGCCATGTAACAAAATGCACCTTTAAAGAGAATCTGCTACACATGACAGACCAGCACCTATGGTTTTCTGATCTGTGTCTAACGCCAAGCATATTCTGACAGGTGACATGTTCCCTTTGTGACAGCACCCTGGTATTACTGTATTATATTGTCTGATATGGGGCTTCTTTCTTATCAATGCCTTGTCAAGTTTCTCTCAGAATAGTGAATGACAGATCAATAGTCTGCTGACAGAACACGGAGATGCTGGCATTATGCATGCAGTGACATACAGCTGTCTGCATGCAGCACCAGACACGAGAGGAGGAAGCAACATGAGCAGCTCCTACAAAAATGTGATTGCTTTGTAAACTCACGTAATTCTTGAAGTCATTTGCTTCTCATCTGTAATGGTTTTAACACCTGAATTATAACTGTTTACCTACCCCTATTAAATATAGCGCTGAAAAATCATTGTAACTCCTGATCAGTAACTCCTAGTGAAGCTTAACTAAAGCTGGCCATGCTCAGATCAAATGTCAGGCCACAGCTGGATGAAATTCTAGCTGTGGATCGCCTTTTGGCACCACCCAGCTCCACAAAAGTGGAATAAAAAATCAAAGGAGCAGGGTGGAAAATTTGTTACAATTAGTGATTCCTATCTGGAAAGGTGCAGTATTGAAGCTGGCTTCACACTTACGCATTGCAATAACGTGAATTACCCCAACACATATTAATGAATTGCACTTTTTGGATTTTTGGTGCCATTACTTGAAAATTCCATTAATTTGGAATGGCAGCCCATTGCATAGGTACAGTAGTACCTATGCTGCAGCGCACCAAAAAGCACACGTTGCACATTGTTGTTTACTACGTTACAAAAATGGTGCAGGTATGTTTTTGCGTCCATTGTGTTACATTAGCAACCAATTCAAAATGAATTGGCTATCTTAATGCAATGCATGCTAACATGTGACATACCTCAAGTTAACGTGAGAGACAACTCACCACAATGGAGTGGAAATCTGTGAAGGGGCGCTTCATTATTGTAAGAAATGCCATTATGGTGCCCAAACTGTTAAAATCATCAATCTTATTTTACACAGTCCAAAATATTCATGATGTAACAACAGTCAAGAGACCCTTCTATGTCATATCATCTGTTGCCTTACAGCTTTTCCAACCTATTACATACCGTGCAGCTGGAATGTGTAATCTTTTCTCTTCCCCCATGAAGTACAACACCTAATATCTGTCTGTATGAATGGCAGAGTCTCACTACTGAATCTAAACGATATATATCTATTGGTAGTTATAGACAATCATTCCCCTCAACTGAAAGTGCCTATCCTGTAAAGTAACTGCCATGGGCCCGTTTCACATAGCTATTGTACATAGTATTGTAAGCAGTATTTTAACATATAAGCAAAATATAAAACAATCTCATGAATTAATATAATGGTAAGATGTGTGTGTTTGACTCTTCTTAGATTATTTATGTGATATTCCACATCTGTCAGCCTCACATCCTGATAGCTTGGCTGCAGGCAAAGACAATCATAGCAACAAAATCTCAGAAGAATGAAGCAAGAGGCTGAAGAAATATATTGCAGGCTACTGAGAGAAGTGGGTCACACAGAGGGCAAATGTAAGATTCTTTAACCGGGTACATGCAGCCTGTTCATTCTATTTCTACTCACTGACCATCTCTTCAAGAAAATGCAGTATCTGCTGTGCAAAAACACCAATTAAAAACCCTTTCTGTTTTGTCGTATTATAACAACACTCACTGTCAGTTAAGAAGTTACAATTTTGCATTTAAAACTTTTTGTGCATCGTGTTGCACTTAAGTAAAGCTCTGATCTCTGCAGGGGGAACATAACTAAACTAACACTATACATTCTGGCTTATAAACCAATACAATTAAATATGTGCAATGATGCAAATCAACCAATCATACTGTATCTTTTAGTGCATTTCTAGCAGTCAAAAAGATGAAAAGCAATTGCACTGGTTTGTTATCGTACTTTGTCCATTGACCTTGGTAATAGAGTCATAGAGTGTACAGAATGTTGAGCTGTGATATGTTCTAGTGCCATTACACAAAGTTAATTTGAGATCCTATAGATATTGATGATGATAGCAGTGTGTGGGCTTTTAATGTATTAAAACAGCTACATTAGAATAGGGCAAGCAATGTTTATGCTCTATTAGACATTAGTCCTAAACTCACAACATCTTAAGAGATATTGGTGGTACTATCTGTCCAAAAAAGCAAGATACAATTTTGCATTTTCTTCTTATGTTACACTAGTTTCTGAAGTGGTTGTTGCAATACGTAAATAGTTAACTGTGTTAAAAAAATAAAACTATTTTCAGTTTTTTGCTGAATACATTTATTTAAAGTTTCATCCTGAAATGATTATGGTTCCTGCCTGGTTTATAATTAGGTAAAGTCATATGAAAAGGGTGGGCGAACATGAAAGATTTGACCTTAGCCCTGCCCATACCCCCTGCTTGGTCATTCAGAGGGCACGTGTGAAAGAGTGCATGCAACCCAACCACATCATGCAAAAACTTTCGGTATCTGTACTTTGACTTAATCTATGAAAGCTAAACATAATTTTGATCATCTCACAAATCACATCTCACAAATTGTTGACCACCCCTGGAAGGAAGGAAGTTAGTTGCCTGAATGCCACATGTTCACCTACCAGAACTTCATTTCCTCTAACAAGGAACTGCACATTGAAGGGTCCAGAAATAGCAAAAGCGGTGGCAATTTTCTTGGTAGCAATTTTCACCTGCAAATTACAGGAATGAGGTTAGTGTTGGAGAGCCACTTTCAATACTTTTTAGAGAAACAGTTTAGTTATGTAAGGCAAACACATACAGCTTCATATATAATCGTCTTTGTCCTATACATTACATTTTTAAATGGTTTTGCTGATTGAGAAGCAGACTCATGACCTTAAAAGCAGATTAACACACCTTTCCCAGAATCCATAATTAAGAACACTGTCTTTGGGTAAAAGTCATATTCTCAAATGAAAAAGACTCAGTAATGCACTAGCAATTTTACCTTGGCAAATATGATTTATGTATTTTGGTATGCTTTTGTTTTTCACTTCAGATACTCTTTTGCTCTTTGTTAAACTTGCATTATGTAGATAACAATTGTTATTTATTAATTAGAATCAAGATTTTAAATAGGTTTCCTTTACTTTTACAGTTATTGTTTGTAGGTTCCATTTTATAAATAACCAAAGACCTGTGAAATATAAAAATACCGATGTCCAAAAGTTTAGTAATGAATGTTTCATTTCCCTGCTTATGTATTTAAAGGGGATTTTATATACTACATTTTTCAATAGAATGGGCCATAAGGAAGACAACTAAGGTCTACCATGACCCTCTATCAAGATACACATTTAATGGCAACCAAAGTTGGTTATACAGTGTTATATATTTTTCATTCAAACAATGGAGATTCCTCCATCAACACTATTTAGCATGGATGGACAAATCACCCGCTGTTTACACTGTATTGTGACAGCAGCCATCAACCACTGTCAAAACACCTGAAGCACCATTCGGCCAAAGATTTCCCTACTCGCTTCTTCAATCCTCTGATCAAGGGATGTCAGAAGGAAGGGTGCTGACAGGGGCACCCACTGTGAACATTGTGTCTGGTTCCTCAAGAATAGCATTAATAGCATGGGTCCTTCCATAGCATCCAATAAGGTTTTAGCTGTCATTTTTCTGCTGTAGAGGTTTTAATAAGGACTTGTATACAGGCTTTTGTTTTTGTCTGGTTTCTCTCCCTACAAGTCAATAGGAATGCAAAAGCAGCTTGAAGTGGTTTAATTTGGGTATATACACAGGTAGATTTTGGCATAAATGTTTGTACGAAAAATCCCATCGGAATGTTCGATAATGACATCAGAGACCTGGTGATTGTCGTTCAAAATTTCATTTGATTTTCGTTTTTACATAACATTTGATTATGGAATGAATGGAGTCTCCCAAATAAAAATCACATTCACTGTTAGAATTTTGTTCGACCGAGAATTCTTTTTTTACATGCTCCTTTGATTTTTTTTTTTACCACTGTGGTCAAAGTCGATCACTGATTTGACCACATCATTGGTTAGAAAGTCGAATGATAGTTTCGAAATCGATTTTGTTCGTTCTAAGTTCTAACCATGTATTTTAGAAGGTCAAATGCAGGCCAGAAGGAGGTTACATTTTAACTCTTTGTTTTATTTTATTTTTTATATATTGTAAATTATGAAAAACTTTATAACAAAATATATAGCTTTTGTTACAGATTATTTTCCCATTTTTTTCTTGTTTTACAGAACTTGAAAGATAGCCTTACTTTCTCTAGTGCTCCCTGGCTGATGGTCTGTGTTGGGATCATAAGGGTGGCGTCTCCAGAATGAACTCCTGCATCCTCAACATGCTCAGAAATCGCATGGGAGATAACCTGTGAAGAGAAAGAACATGCAGAAATCCTTTACCCTATAACCAGGTTACGAGAATTATTCTTCATTTGTACCAGGGACTTGAGAGTAGTTTGAAACTGTTTAATGTGGAATTCCATCCAATACACTCTCAGGTTTTTATTGTTGTCTGTAGACTCATTACAAATATTATCACACAGAGACAGCAATACCCATGGTATTTAAAGTGAGATGCTAGCCATTCATAGTTAAAGAGGAACTGAACTCTGTTAAAGAAAATGTCTTTTCCCCCCACTTACCTTTGGTGCTCTTTTTATGCTGTAAAAATATATGTATAAGCCCAACGGATCTAGCGTTGTTCTCATACAGGTCCCATACTGAGCCGCCATCTTTTTTTTTATACAACTGCAGACATCTAATCTTTTCCGGACGTTCCAGGAGTCTCCTGCTATAAGATAGCAGCTCCCAGACACCCGGGAGAGAAACATCTTATCCCGGAAAGGTTTACTCTGCTCCATCTAGCATAGTAAACCTATCCGTGCTGTCTGGTTTTTGTTTTTTGTTTTTTACATCGGGGCTGTCGGCCGCCATCAATCACAACAACAAAAAACAGCATAGGAATGAATAGCTAGGCTTCTATTGGCTATTTCAAATTGCAATAGACAATAGCAGACTGGCCCTGTCAATCAGCAGATGTGGACCTGAAGTTCTCCATCAGGTCCTCCTCTGCTGATTGACAGCAGCAGTGGGTGGGTGTGATAGCCAGCTTGCAATTGGCTATTGCAAATTGAAATAGCCAATAGTAATCTAGCTATTCATTCCTATTCTGTCCATTGGTTTTTTTTAGGGATGCACAGATACTTTTTGAGTACCAGTACAGATACTTAGCATTTTCATGAGAACTACCACGGTTGCAGTGGTTGCAGCTGGGACCTGGCTCTGGCACTCCACCACTGTCCTGAAATCATTAGTCTGTATTGTTTTAGAAAAACTGTCACATGACAAGAAACAAAAATGTATCAGTACTCGTACTTGTAAGTACTCGGCAAGTACCAGTACTCGTACTCGCAAAACTGGTATCTGTGCATCCCTTTATTTATAGTTATAAAAACAAAATCGTACATTAAAACAGAGATGTACAAATCCCAGGAGCTCCGTGTGCTCCTTACAAATGACAGCTGCCTCCTAATTTTTGAATTTTTCTCTAGTGTAGTCTTGGAGCTCAAAAGTATCGGTACATGTACTCGTACTTGTACCGAGTACTGTACTTGGTATCTGTGCAACCCTAGTTTTTTTTTTTTTGCTTTTTTTATTCTGACGGCAGCAGGTGTCAAAATACTAAAAATAAACAGCAGATAGCAAGGGAAGCATTAGCTCCCTTGCTATCTGCCATCATTTCAGGGAGGTGCCCTCTCCCCCATTCCCCCCCTTTCTGCGGATGCTAGGGGAAGGAACAGAACACCTCCCTGAAATGATAAGGGCACCTCCCTGAAATGACTTTTACCAGGTTGGGATGCCTGTAACTGGGAGCCAGCTGTGTTTTGTTTCTGCTGTATTCCCCCCCTAAGGACGTGTGCTGACATACAGATCTGGTACTGTGTCTGTTTACATATTGTTCAATTGTTGGAAGATAGTAATACCTCTTGGGATACCAACCTCACAAATCACAGAAGGCATTACTTTCCCCATTCATAGAATATTATGTAAATAGACATGCGCCAGATCTGTCTGTGCATGCATGAGATCTAGCGCCGCCATTTATCTGTGACATCGATTGAGAAAGGTCAGCTTTTTACAAAGTGGAGGGGGACCATTAGAATGCTAATGTACTATTTTTGAGTGAAGTTCTGCTTAAAAGCTGCACTTTAGGCAAACAACTCAATTTCCAAAAGATTTGTATTTCTGTCTATCCCGTTATACAGCACAATCCTATTTAGCAGATCAGGAGACCTGATTTTATTCTGTCACAGTTAAGTAACACATTATAGGTCTTGTCTCTCCCCCAGCCTTTATATAGACAACAGACTGATAAGCTCCTATCTTTCTTTGTCGTCCCTCTCTACCCCTATCAGTATGTTCCTTGTTGGCACATGAGCACTGCAGCACAAAGGATTGGCACCTTGTTCTGCTTCTGTCTCTTCCAGTCTCAACTCTTTTGTATGGGGATTTGCAAGACGCTGGTACCAAGTCAAATTCAGGTACTCACTGCTTGCAATTAAAAAATAAATTTGTTGAGACACAGAGACTGTAATAACCATACTTTTTAAAATGAAATGCTAACCATTTATTATTAAAGCTGAGCAGAAATCATTTGTGTCTTTCATATCTGCCTTGGGTTCAGATTCAATATTGAGTAGAGTGGAAATTAGACTTATTGGAAAGTTAGAACCTCTGTCAAATCAGAGATTCGGAGAAGATCAAATGGACCTTCATGAAATATACTTTATCAAGTGCAACTCCATCCAAAATCATAAAGGTTTGAGTTGATGTGGCAAGTTGAAAATTACAATCAGATGCTCTTGTCTATGGCCTCAGACAGTGTCTTCACCTTATGCACTAATCTGTAAGCGCTTTTCTTTTCAGATCACAATGCACTGTCTATATTACAGACTTAAAGTAGCATCTCTTCCATTTAAATGTAAGTATAACTCATGGAAAGACTTCCCTGTCAGGAATCCCAAATGTTGAATGAAGCCTATGAGTGATCAAACACAATAGTGCCCACCAAAAACTGTTCATTTCAGATGGATTTATACTTTAATAGGGATGAGCTAATAAGATGAGCTAAAAACAGCTAATCTGCCAGCGTATTCGCCGGACATGGTCTCTTTTCTTTTTTCAGCTTATCTTGTTAAAGTTAAAATATTAATAACATTGACCCCCTGACCATAAGTAGATAGAGACTTTAGTTGGACTTTCCTGATTTGCATACTTGTCCTGGGTCAGTGATTAAAAAATAAATCAAGCTAGAAAGCCATCATAACAGCCAAGAAATAAGCATTTGGGCAGTCAGCTATTTCAGACCTTGTATTTCTGTTATGACAGGTTTAAATTGATTATGTTTGCTGAGACTGAGCTGCATGATCCAATGTGTGTGGGATTCACACATCTGATGTTTTATTGATTTTGCCATACACACATGCCCAAGCTTACAAATCCAGACATTCTACTTTCAAGCCAAACTTTTGGGAAGTACTTGGCTAAACAAAAGTAGACCACATACAAGTTCAGTCATTGTATAGCTGTATTCTTTATCCCGCTCGTTTAATATATAAGGTTATTAGTGATTAGGCTTGGAAATTAGATTTCCACAGTGCATGCACAATTATTATAAAATAGGCAGTTTAGTCCTGAACTGACTTAGACCTAAACTGGGAAAACCCAACGGGCTTCTTTAGTCATTTTGTATCCATTGGAAAGAATCCTGTCACATATCACTATTGTATCTTACAAACTGTTATAAAGACAATACATACACGCCCTTCCTTGGCAACTGCATCCATCTCTACCTCTCGGGCACCTTCGATAAACTTGGTGATCACAACAGGGTGCTCCTGTTCAAATAATAAGCAAAACCAAGTCAATCCACAGCTTGAATGACAAAATAGACACAGCTTGATTACAACATCTAACACTTCTGCAACAAACTCTATTTTTAAAGCCCATATGGTCATAAATAAGTGGCAAGGCGCTTGATGTAGGTGCAAACATATGGAAAAAACTAGTTTTCTGTTATAGTTGCTGCGACAACTTGAACTTGATATCCAATTTCTGTAGTTGTAAGACTGTATCACTCAGCATCACTATGTGACTGATCAAACCCATCTCCCTTGTAAATGCCGCTCATCTTCGTACCACCTTGAAAGTGTTTTAATGCAGAAGCAAAAGCTTTCATGTTGTGAAGAGAAACCCTGCAGGATATACATAAATCCCCCACCCGGGCCTAAAAGAGACACTAATATGAAAACAAGGAACATTACCCTGAGAGTTGGCATAGTACGAACATTTTGCTGCCAGTTGATCATGAATTATGTATGATACCACTTATAGCTAGATATGTCAATACGTAACATTTACATAGAAAACACATTGCTTGTATTTATCAGTAGTGGTTCAAGGTGCAGATTATGTAGCAATAAAGCCGCAGGGACACGACAGATAATAAACATATTATTTTCACTTAGCAAGTGCAAATAACAGATGTGAAATTATATTTGACCTCTGGCGTATTTATTTGCTAATTTGTTATAGAGATAAAGATCTGCAGCTTTACCTTACTACTGTATCATTTGTGAAGCAGTAGATTTATGTTAGTGTTTTTTAAACAAGTTGGGTCACGTGTACTTAGGTGTCTGGCAGCAGAAAAGTATTTGCTGCCTATGGTTATGAGCCAGAAGTTTCCTTTCTTTTATTCTCAGGGAATATTAGGAATGTAACACTTGGGAACCTAATGGGACAATGCAGAACAAGCATGTAGGAGGTGCCTTTTGACTTAACAGGATATCTACTTGCTCAGTTGCTTGGGAACCTAATGGGACAATGCAGAACGAGCATGTAGGAGGTGACTTTTGACTTAACAGGATACCTTCTTGCTCAGCTGTTGCGGCTGAATGATCCACTGTAGTTAAAGCAGAACTTCAGTAAAAAAATAACAACATAAAATGAAATGGCCAATAAAGTGGAACTCCGGGCAAATCAAATCTTAACCCTTGCAGTGGGGCTGCCCATGCACTGCAAGGGTTAAGTGCTAGTTTTGTCTAGGGCACTAAAAAAAAAGTTATACCCACCAGAACCACGATCCCAGCTAGCTCCTAGACTGGTCCCTTAAGCCTCGTCCACCAACCGGTTGCTGCAGCGGTCTAAGGTCCTGTGAATCATGATGTTCTATAGAGTGTATAGAATATTACGACGCTAAGGGACATACCTTTGCTGCACCGGACAGGGAGACAGGCAGGAGGAAGCGGTGTAGGAGCCAGCCGGGATCGCGGTTTGGGCAAGTATAGCTTTTTTTTAGCTCCCTAGACAAAATGAGCACTAAACTCTTGCAGTGCTGGGGTCACCCCACTGCAAGGGTTAAGATTTGCTTTGGCCGGAGTTCTGCTTTAAAAATGAAAAACAGCTTTTGTTGCAATATTTGCTTTCAATCCAGAGCTTACTCCCTTAGTACTTTCTTTCTGCCACAAGATGACCTTACTCTGATGGCAAGTATCATTCAACCCACTTCCTCTGAGTCCAGACTGTTCTGGTCCCACCCCTGTCTGTGATTGGACAGAGAAAGCAGAGACAGCGCAGTGATAAGCTCATCCCTTTGTCACTTTGCCCTCCCCTCCTATTAGCTTGCTCTTTGTCAGGACATGAATTGATCTGCTCTTTCTGCTGCTTCTTCCTCGTGCACTCCACCCCTTCTGAACAGGGACTGCAAGAGGCTAATGCAAGGTCAAATTCAGGTACTTACACTGCTTGCACTGTTTTCATTCATTTGTGTCTATTGTATCTGCCTAGATTTAATAAATAGCTTTAGGAATACCAGCAAATATGTACCCATTTGTTAACTGGTTAACTTAAATGGAATCGATCGTTGCCAGTGAGAGATTTATAACGCACTGGTTTTCTTTACTTGCCAATCAGATAATAGTTTAATTCATGAGGGGAGACAATGTCTAAGCTGATTTGAGGTTGGATGGGTAAGGTAAGCTTCCTTTCCTCCCATGATGCATGAACTCTTACTAGATAAATTCGAAGCATACACAGCAGTGCAACCGTGGAATGAAGGGGAATGATTTAAAGGAGCTGGATGGGCTTGCATTTTAGTGGGCCTGTTGCTTTGCCCTGCATGGGCAAAGCACGGGTTTACTTTTATACTTGCACAGATAGGGCTGACATACCTCTGCTTTGTGCACAGCAGATGTAGATCAGACACAGATAGGTTGGTCTACTAGAGGCAAATAGGCTGTTCTCTTTGCAAGGAGATTATTGCTTTGCAAGGGGATTTTCTCTTAGCTTAGTGAATTAGGTGAGGCTCTGCAGATGACTTCTATCTTCAATCATGTGCAAGCAAAAAGTCTGTTTTTTTATTTTCCTTGTACATGGTTGAGTATTATTTGCATTGTCACCACATTCACTAAGGGTAAATTCCCTTGCCAAGGTAAATATCCCTCGCAAAGTGAACAGCCTATTTTCCGTTAGTAAATCAACCCCAGTGAGTCCTTATTTGCATTCAGAGCTGGCTCAGAGCACTGGCAGACTGAAGCTCTGGGTTCATTGTTTGCAAAGGTTCTATCCAAAATGAGATGTTATATTATACGGTATGTTTTATAATAACATGACTGTATATTTGTGCAAGAAATGAAATGTGTACAATAAAAAAAATATGCAATTTAGATATTCCATTTAGGTCAGAGCAACTAGTCCTAAAAGTCAACCTATCTAATTGCCTCTATTATTCTGCATTCAGATATATTCAATAAAGGATCCCAAAAATGATAATATGCCAGAATCCCTTTGTCTGACTGAATAAGCCGCATAATATTGCCTAATTTTGTAGATTACGTTCAAGAGCTAATATACTGACACAGTCCTCTGTTCAGATAAAGTCATAATGATGGATCCTCTTTACCTGTGAGACACGTGTGGCTTCAGCTAGGAAATTCTTCAGTTCTTCCTCTCCATATACTACATTCATTGCTGAGCCACTGTGGTAAGACAGAGGAAACAAAGCTTTATAAAGGGTTAACAAAGCGTTAAGCTTATACTGAGTATGTTAAGTTAGGTGTGCACTGATCTTGCATTATCACTAAAAACTTAAATATATAAAAAAAAACATATACAATCACAGAGAGGCATATATGTGGCGCCTCTGCCCAATATCTACCTACTCTCTGTTAATGATGTACACTGTATTTATTTTTTAAAGTTGCTTGTGATAATGCAGAAGATCAGTGTGCTCTGTCTTGCACATATTTGGTTTTTAAGGTCTACAAGAGCATCTCTTTTATGAGAGCAGCAAGAGCCCATTTTTTTCATACTTGATTGATCAAACTTTTTAGGACTGTGCACATGGACTAAGCAAGGATGTAGTGTTTGAGGTTTTACTCAAGATGGGAGTGGTCAAGAATAATCGACTATTAATATGAAATATTCTGACACTACTAACACTATATCATGTACATCTACTGTATATCTATTCCTACAATGCAGACAGGTTACCAGGGCCAGAATGATACTACTGTATCACTGGGCCATCTATCTTATTCCGCCCCATTCAAGCCCTGTAAACTTACTAGCCTTACTATTGCACTAGCAAGGCTGGGGTTGGAGAGATGAACAACACCCTTTTCCCACTCTTCATCAGTTCACTAAAGCTAATAACTAGAAGGGAAAGCTATTGTCTGCTGTACTAGCAGTTCAGTCTACAATATACGGATCCAGAAGTTACTATTCCATAAACAATCATAGAATGTGCAGGGACAATAAAAGAACCTAGCAAGGTTGCAATTGCAGGTCAGGTGCTAACTTTATAGAGGAGACTGTTACTGACAGTCGGCAGCATGATGTGTGAATGGCAAAATGTGACATTTGTGGATTACCTGAGCACGTAGGAGGGACGCAGCAAGCATGGATAGCCAACAGTCTTTGTAAACTGTATAGCATCATCCTATAGAGGTAAATAAACACATGTTTATTGTAAATGAGTACCTTAAACATAAAGCATAATATTAGAAAGAAGAGACTAAGTACAACTATCAGAGATATCCACCTTACCGGGGAATTAACAGCTTTCCAAGGAGCCTGGGCAATCTGAAGCTCATCCAAGACAGCTGAGAATATGGAGCGATCCTCTGCCCGATCAATCTGCAGTGGGCTGGTGCCCATGATCTTCACCCCATTCTTGTGCAGTGGCACAGCCATGTTGTTGGGGATCTGCCCCCCAACAGAGATGATGCAGCCATCACATTGCTGGTAAGAGAAAGGATGGATATTTGTTAAATTCCTTTATGATTATAATAATGCATACTGTGCCAAGGCCTACAGAGACTCAAAGAAAACAACACTGCATGATATTAATAACACCTTTGGTATATGCAAAACATGGTTTTTAATTACAGGAATTATTGCACAAACTTCTGCATGGCTCACTGATTTATGTTATTTATATTAATAAAGAGGATGTAATTAAAAAATTGGGCCTCAGGAGCTGTTGGGTATAATGTGCTAATAGCTAATAGCACATTATGGCAGACTTACCTACAGAAGCAATCCTCTCCAGCACTGCTCCCCTTGGCCCTCTTCCAGGTTCCGATTCTACTGCCCCTTGATTGACCAGGCCCCAATGATGTAACACCCCCACATGCTAACGGGAGTTACTTCCTCTCAGCAAGAATCCTGCCAAGACTGTATACTGATCTATGCATACATGGCTCATTGTACAGTTGTACAAAAAAGTGCTGACACGCAGGGAGAAACATCTATGACAGTAAAGACAGGGGTGTATCCACTGCAGGGCAAACAAGGCGTTTGCCTTCAGAGGCAAGTCCTGGCCGGACCTGGCCTCGGCTGCCTAATCAGTCAAAGAGTGGGTTCTGCAGGATCTATGGTGGGCTCTGTGGGTCTCAGGTGGGCTCTGCGGCATCTACTGTATGGTGGGCTCTGTTGGGTCTGTGGTGGGCTCTGCAGGATCTATGGCATGGTCTGTGGTGGGCTCTGTGGGGTCTCAGGTGGGCTCTGTGGGATCTCTGGTGGGCTCTGCATGGTCTTAAGCTGAGACCCTGCTGAGCCTACAAGAGATCCTTCACAGCTCACCTGAGACCCTGCAGAACCCACCAGAGACCCCGGCTTCCCTGCTATGCTACTAATGCAACATGTCAGAAGCTGGATACAGCGTGCACGCTGTATGCAATGACTAGCAGGTTATGCAAAATGTCTCTCTAACAAAGCCCTGGATTGCATTAAAAAAAACATCCAAAGGTTCGAATCCTCCTCTGCTGTATCCCAAACTGAAAAAAAGAGATTTGTCTGGACTTACACTTTAATGCTAACTTTCATAAAATATAGATCTATAGAAATATAAAATATAGAATCACCATAAATAAACATCTCAAATCAATTGCAGAATATTAATACAAATCAGGATATCTTCTTGAGCAGACAGCAGAACAATGTAAGCAGGTAGGTTTTATTTAGCAATAATATAAGGCACCTATGCCTAAACTGTAAGAGAAGATATGCATTGTTATAGGGAACATCTAGAGATGCACTTGTTGTCTTGAATTTCTCTTGAAAAATAGCAATATACTTCCTGGTATATGAGCTTGCCTAGACAATTCTGTACTTACAGCCTCATAGTTGTATATCTAAAGTGTGATAAATATGGCAATACTGCCTTTGACTGCTAGTCTCAATGTCTTTACTGTGTTGTTCACTGTTCTCCTTGCTGGAGGCTGTGACACGAGGAAGCAAAGTCTTGCCCCTACCAAGGTAGCTGCCTCCATATTAAGACACCGTCTGAAACAAGGTATGGTAAGTAAATAATAGGAAAAGAATAGCTGCAGGGAGACCACAAGTAATCCCTTGCTCTCTGGGTTTTTTGGGCACAGCTTCTAAAGTTCAGTTCCTCTTTGCTTAAATTTAGGCAATACAGTGAAGACTTGCTATAAAATAAACCTCAATGCCAGGATGATGGATGAGAATACAGTCATATTTTACATTTTCTTGTGTTCTCAAAGTACAGGTGCCAGGAGAAAATATATTCTAGTCTCGTTCTGAATATGCAAGCTGACTGGCTGTCTGTGGCTTCAATACTTCTGATTCACAAACCCAGAACAGTCAAGCAGTACACACGTCTTTCTTATCCCCATACTGCGTCCGTGATTTATAAACCATTGAAACCACATCATCAGCATGGTAGGGAAGCAACCTGAATTTTTACTAGTAGAGGTCACAAATGGCAGCCTACATTCTTTTCTCATGACAGGTGTACAGATATACAATTATGCATTGTAGTATTGCTGTCAGGTTTTTTTTTTTAGTTTAATTTATCGATCTTCTACATAAAAATCTACTTTCCACTATCTGTCCCTTTTTGCTACAATAACAGTTAACTGTCTTTTTTATTCAAATGGAAAAAATCTGCCACAGTATGTTGTTTTATAGGAGCAGCTATAATGTGGAACTAAATTGTTTAGAATTCACATCTATTTTTGGTAAGGGAAATACACAGATCTGCTTAATTAGGTTTTTATCATTTTCAGATTAAAGATGCCAAGTGTCTCAGGAAATAAAGTTGTTTTATATTTAATCTGCAAATCATCGCCATCTGTATGCCAAAAACAGCTCTCACTATATATGATCAGCAATGATCAAATAATTCTGCCAGGATGGTACATGGCTTTATAATAACTGCACTTATCACTACATGTGATTACTGTTAAACAATTAATTGTATCCTCTGTGTGATCTACAGGTTTCAGGATAAGTGTACCCCTGCTATGTCTGTGAAGGTTCTCATTCATCCAGGTCATGGTATATCTGTCAAAAAATAAGTCAAGGCAACTGGACTTGCTGTGTTTTTCTTGAAGACGTTTCACTGGTCAATTGAAACATGGGGTGTGGCAGATGAAACAAAGAGGGAGTGAGCAGAAGGTAAATACATGCTGCTTACTCACCACAGAATAAAGTGACTGTATGTATAAAGTACAGGTTCACTTTGAGAGAAAAGGTAATTCACTGTTAAAAGCTGATGAAGAGAAGCTCCAATCAAGGGATATTTCTGTTTCTTACTGTCTAGTACAGTGGTTCTCAACCTTTCTAGGTCCGGGACCCCTTGGTGACATTTGCCAAATTGTGGTGACCCCCAACAGAGCACTGGACTCGGGACTTAGTAATGCACTGGACTCAGGACTTAGTAAGGCACTGGACTCAGGACTTAGTAAGGCACTGGACTCAGCACTTAGTAAGGCACTGAACTCAGGACTTAGTAATGCACTGGACTCAGGACTTAGTAAGGCACTGGACTCAGGACTTAGTAAGGCACTGGACTCAGGACATAGCAACACACTGGACTTAGAATGCAAGCTCTCCCCAGCCCCTGCTACCTGCTTGCCTGCTCTGTCTCCATGCAGCCTTCTCAGCCCCAGCACTGCTAAGATGCCCGCCTCCTGCAGAGCCCGCACTGTGTGGGAGTCAGGAGGACAGTAACGGCTGTGAAAAGCCCTGCGGTACAAATTCCCCGGCCACTGGATGTCACTGCAGCGGCCAGGGAGCGTGTACAGCGGCACTTTTATATTCATAGCCGTTGCTGTCCTCCCGCTGACTGACACTGCTGCGCAAGGAGGAGGCTGAGGAGGCTCTCACCCAGCGCAGCAGAAATGGACGCGGCAACCCACTCAACAATGAGTTGCGACCCACTTTTGGGTCGCGAGCCACAGGTTGAGAACCACTGGTCTAGTAAGTAAGGAAACACTGACATTTGTTGGTTTGTTCTCTTGATAGTAAAAGTCTCATTTTACCCATTAAAACTATTTTAGTTGCTATTTACAAAGTAAAACAGGTTTTAAAAATTGTATACGGTCTGGGAATTACCCTTATTTTCCAGGCTCTGTATATAGAAATAAATTAGTTAATATGTTGACTCGACCTCAAAATTTTGACACATTAATAGTCAATTATTGCTGTACTTCGTTTCATAGTTGTACCGTGTTAGATTTCAATCTAAAATAACTTGTTTAGCAATCCACAAAATAATATTGCAATGAATTGTTACAATGTGTAGCATATGCTAGGCTGAATGTACTGCTGTCCTAAGTTCATAGAAAATTCCCAAAGTTTACGATATGTGTCACTCACCTCCAGTTGGAACACATCCATGATTCTTTCCAGTGAAAGCTCTTCAAAGTAAAGTTTGTCACACTCATCAAAGTCTGTGCTGACAGTCTCAGGGTTGCAGTTCACCACCACAGTTTTCTTGCCAAGCTGACGCAGTGTGCGGATGCTGGAAACTGCACACCAATCAAACTCAACACTACTGCCTGTATCATAAAGAAAGACAAAGGTTTATAACGGAAAAGGATGGAGGTTTTTCATCTATCCACAATTATATCACATTCTGCCAACAGCAGGGGAATCCCACTCCTTCTTGACCGAACCGTCCTCCGACACCCACCATTACGTCAGAGGGTACTAGAATGTTCTCCCATCGGGTGGCAACATCCTCTCCCCTCCAACAACTGATAAGAACAGATACTACACTTGATCTTAGCCAAAAGGCCGAGACACTGTGAGACACTATTGCAATAGATGCAGGTAGATGGAGATGGGAACCCAGGTGAAAAGATTTCACCCTTTAAACCAAATGCCAGTCAAAATCATTTCTAGTTTTGGCTACCACAAGGAGAGGTTAAAAATCATTGCTTTGACCTCAAAGAAGAGACTTTTTTTATTTCTTGTCTCAGTGACACTAAGACAAGTACAGTAAGGGACAATTGTCTTTCAGACAAGAACAGCCAGACAACAGTAAAACAATGTCATATGTTCTATTACTTCACTACTCTACGTAAAAAGCAATTTACTTACCTGATATCACATTGGAGGCATTTTACATAATTACTGTTACTGGGACACCATGTCACCAGGACTGGTAAAAAATGTGACAATCTCAAATTGAGACACAGAAAGCCAACAGACGTTGTAACCCGCAAATGGGGGAAAAAAAGTTTGGCTAGAGCTGGAGCTAATATAATTAGCTAACATTGTATATAATATAAACAGTTTTTTTTTTTAAATGTAGACGCAATTGGATTGTGTATAACTGTCATCTTGGATCAAACATTTGTTTCCCATCAAACAGCAACGTTTAAGTCATTTCGGCTGAAAGTGTTAATCTGAACAAATGGCTGCACCAACTGTCGTTCCTTTACTAGAAGCGAAAGAGATGGTGTGTTTGGCCAGATGTAATTTCTGCTTCTCACCAGTGTTGAAAATGTGTCTCATTAAAGGTTCTAGGAACTGAGATAATTATCTTTGGAAGTGATAATATCTGAAGATGAGGAAGTTTTTCATAGATCAGCCTGGCACAGTATGGGAGGCAATCTATTTGTTAATCACAATAATGTGTCAGGATACCTTGTAAGCTTTTTGTCTTCCAGTACACATACATATATAAAAGCAGTTTATCTTCATAAAATACCTTAATAAGGGACATTTACGACACAAAGGTTCTAAGGTCAACAAAAAACTAAATAATAAGGGCTACCATCATGAATGAGTATGAAATTGTTTAGCCAGAAAACAATTAGGTAAGAAATTCCTCAAGGGTACTACAAAATGTTTTTTGAGATTATTCAGTTTAAGGGCCCATTCATAATAGATGCGTTATGGCTGCGCTGACCATTTTTTTTCCAGCGCAGCCCAGACACAAGACAAGGAGATTTGTCTTGTTACGGAGGATGCAAAATAGATAAGACAACCTCTGTACAATGTACCAGTGGTCAAACAATTTTACTGACACAAAGTTATGGCCCTTCTTACTAGATAGGCAACATTATTGGTAACCAAAGTTTAGGTATTGCATAGCAAGGTGTCCAATATTATATAGCCACCTTTACCTTGTACAAATCATCTACGTAGATGCGGTAGCTGGTATATTATGAGCATAACTGAAGTACATGTGTGATTAAACTACAGATTTGCTAGTAAGATTGTCATGTAATTTATTCACGTAGTCTTATTAGAATAAATATAAACTGCTGTTTCAGTGCAAACCGTCATGAAGGCCCAGGAAAATAATAGATAGTATGAAGCCACGTAATATTATTATTCTGTCTGGTCTGGTGTCAATAGACACAATTTGGGCAAGAAAACTTTTTTTGTCCACATAGAAAAATGAGCTGTAGTCAACATGCTTTAACTGGCTGAAAAACAAGGTGTCCTTTTTCCATGCACCCAGTCCTTCATCCCCTATCCCCTGTGTGCTTTACAAGACCACGTTTTTTGAGCCTTCAGTTATGTTTTTGTGGGGTTTGTGTGTTCCATGCTAACACATGCCCAAACTCAGCTATTCTTCATCCTACCTATTAACTGAAAATAAGACTGCATTGAATTACAAACCCTGCAATATTTAGTAATTCTTTTTTCTCTGATTTCTTTAGAAGCCCGGAGATCATGGGTATATTAACATAAAAATTCAGGTAATAAGAAACAACACAGCTTAAAATAAGTTGGGAGCTTTTCAGTGAAAAAAGAGTGAGAGAAACAGAAAAAGAGAGACCAAAAACACTTTTCTAAACTTCTCTTTGACTCCAAATTACAGTAAACACCTCTTATTGCAGATTTGCTTTATAAACCTTTTCTGTTGTACATAAAATGGGAAGATAGCTGGACTCAGACAATACCTATATGATACGGGCCACAACCTAGAACCATCATTCCGTGGTCATCAAACTTTATATCATGCTCCTGGAAGAGAGATGAGAAGATGTATTAACCATTGCGAAGAGAAATGGATCATAAAAATCCTTACTGGATGGTGCTCAGTATATTTCTGAGTGTCTTTAAAATGTATGATTCCATTACGTTTGTAAATCTTTAGCCCAAAAGTATAATGGCTACCCTTCAGTGTGACATTTTCCTTGAACAGAACAAGAAGAATAGTTTCAAGCATTTTTAGGACTAAAGGCAATCTCGGATATTCTTTGGACTACAGTGCTATAAAATTTGATTGAAGCTCCCTCAATTAGAAATATTCTTGTACTCCATCACAGATTATATAACAGGCAGCCCATGGACTTGCAATAGAAAGACATCCAGACTTTCCAATGCATATTTTACCAATTCTACTGCAGTCAGCCAAAAGGTAGTGACTTGCCAAAGTAACATGAAAGCAACCTAGGTTGGCTTCAAACATCCAATCATGTCCAGGAAACACTCCTATTTGTTTATATTTCCTCTGCACATGAATAGATGTTTGAACTGAACAAATGTTCAATTCACTTTGCTGTAATGAATAACCTCTTGTGTAAAATAGCTGTGAAATGTCTAATGCTTAGAATCAGAAAGCAACTAAAGAACCTGATTCATTTTGCCTCTCAAAGGGAGTCACCAAAATAAATATATTGATTGATTTAGGTTTTAAACTAAACATTGGCTTGGGTGCAAGTGTGATGAGTTATATGGGATTCAATGAGTTTATAAACAAAACCATCTCTGGGAATAAACTTCCAGCATTGTCAACGGCAAAAGACAGCTTTAAATTATTGCTGTAGTTTGCCATTTTACTATTTTATGTAGAGTAAGTAAAATGAAATACAACGTACAGGATTGACTGTATTTAACCCACCCTCTCAAAAAGACCATATTTTTATTTTAAAAGTCAACTGTACCTTTTAAGAAAGCTCCTTTTAATCCACCTACCCCTCTTGTACTAACCTACAATAACACTTCCTACCCCAGCTTCATTTTCCTCTGTAGCAGAGCAATGTCCTAGTGTAATGTTTTCTCCATCACCAGAAAAAGGCATGTCTCAGTACAGCCCCATAAAAGCATATGAAGCCATATTGCAATGGTGCCGAAAGGGCCTCCGGCCAAAGGTGGTATAAACATTGCCGCAGGATGCAACACTACTACAGAGGTAAGTAAGAAGCTGGGGTAGAGGGTGTTAGTTTACAATAGTTAAAAGAGAACTATGTGGTAAGTGTTTTTCCCCATAGTTTTCGTAAAGAAGGATTCCACTTTTTGTGGTTGATTTTCTAAAGCAACCAAGATCACTGATCACTTACCAAAGTGACACTAAACTCAGGAGTTAAGTCTTAAAAATGAATTTAAGTGCCTTAAATGAGAACTATGGGGTAAGTGTTTTTCCCCATAGTTTTCCTAAGGGTCACAGGAGGACACAAACTAGCGTCCTCCCGTGACCCAAAGCTCAGTATACTGTAAACTACAGCTCGCGGTATACTGAGACCGCCGCAGCCGGGACGGATCCCGACATTACTGTCGAGATCCACCCAGCTTCGTGAGTGACAGCTGGCTCTGCCTATCTAGAGGCAGAGCCATCTGTGCCCGGACCCTCCACCATCCGTTCCTCCAGTCAGCGCTGGAGGATCAGAGCGGGGAGGGGGAAAATCCCTGCAGGGAGCCGTGACTGACAGTCACTGCTCTCTGCAGGTAGATGATCAAGAAATGAGCGAGCGACGGTATGTGTTCGCTCGCTTCCCGATCAATTGAGACGACATGTGACAGTTTCATTGTCACACGTTAGCTCGAACTATGAGGATGAGGGATTTTCACTCAACTCATAGTTCTCCTTTAAGGAGGGGTGAGGCAAATAAAAAGAGTTTCATTCAGACATATCAGGCCCCATTCACACCTATATTTTAGGCGCGATTAAGGATTCCTGTATCAGGAACTTGCAATTTCCTGCAGCAGGAAACCCTAATCTGCCATTTACAAGCAACAGCTGTAATCCACTCAAGTTAATGATCGTGTAACAGCCACTACATTTGAATGACAGCACACCGCGTTTAATTGTATGTTATACGATTACAGGGCGGTCAAATTCTCCCTGCCAGATTTTTCTTTTTTGATATTATTTAGAATGCAACAGGAGAGCGAAAACCCCATGAATAGCAGCAATTGATCCAAGAACAATATGAGGATTCGTGAAAATTCCAGAGATATCATAAGTCAGTCAGCCCTACAAAGTTTACCAATAAATGAACTTCCACTTATGGGGGGAAATGATCCTTTCAAGCTTTTGGCCTTAAACTAGATTAATAGCCCCAAAATGTATTTTAGTACCATACCTGTCCATTGTAGGTAAGGTAGAGGTAGTTTGTAATGGCTGGGTACTCAGCAGCCAAAGTATCAATCTGAGAAGCAAAAAAGTACAAGTTATTTGTCAGATGGCTTAATGACATTTAAGAAGGTACAGTATACCGTATATAAGGATGTACTAAGTTACAAACAATAAAAAGAAACCCATCAGATCTTATTTAAAAACGTTCTCCAATCTATAATTAACCTTCTCCCATAAAGTCATGTGATTTGCAGCTTTTAGTTCATTAACCTCTGCCATGCTGAGGTGGGCTGATTGTAAAGGGAGGTAGTGCCACAGATACCTATCTACTTTATTTATTTCCATTAATATGAATGGTGGCAACTTCCCTAACAACCAGTCCATCTCTAAAATAAAGTTTAAAAAGTTCCTAGCAGGTACAAAGCGTAACTTGCACCAAAATGTTGTGCCATTCAAAATAGTCAAAGCTCCAACAGTTCCAGGCAATCTAGGAGCTTACTAGTGTCCTCTTGCATCCCCTCTCCACACATTTCTATTGGTTCAGCATTATGATGGCCTTCCTCCTTGGGCAATAGGAATGTGTGTGAGGTGAGCTGGTCCTACCACTACCTGGAAGTGGCAGTGCTTTGCCTATTCAGTACAGCCCACCATTTAGCTGAAGCAAAAGGCAATACGAGCAAATGTACCTCTAGGTGCCTCCACTTTGTAGCAGCTAGCAGCTTTCTTTTTTTTAAACAGTGATTTAAATAAGACTATATATGGATATACATATACACACAAATTCCCTCCTTTTATTACATGTAATTTAATAATTTTATAGTCCAGCTAACAATATAGTAGGTTAAAAAGGAAATCTAATACAAGTAACTTGTCAAGTCGTTTATTTCAAAGAAAGTTACAATAGGTCAGGTCAATTTTTGGAGCCAGCACCAACTGGATCATCCAATTCTCACTAACACGTCGGATTCCACCCTCTCCTCATGGATGGGGCATTATGTTTTTCCGCAATAAAAAGTGCCATATTAATAAGCTCACCTCAAGATTCTATTACCTCATGTCAAATGACAGGATCAAGCGTACAAATGCATCTGCACTACAACTGCGCATACCAAGTAACTTCATTAAAACAGAGGAGCTTGCCATGAATGCAAAATTACTTTGGTAATGATGGGGCACTTAAAATAAAGTATTAGCCCATAAAACAATGTTAGCACCTCGGGAGATGGCTGCGAGGCTAGTTTTCTAGAGCCAGATGCTGCACGTTTAAACCAGGTCAGCTCCTGATGTTTCATGATTAGAGGTTTTTATATACTGTTTAATTGCCACTTCAGCGGAACGCCACCGTTTCAATGGGAGCTCTCAAAGATCAGCGCCGAAAATTGCTTTGTGGTTGAAATAAGAAATGATGAAAATGGAAAATGAAATTGCTTGACAATGTGCAGGTTAATCTGTAGGATGATATAAAAAAATTCTCAAGCCTATGCTGATGATTTAATATCATCATAACCAATCAGAAGGCTTAGTATATACGTTTGTTCAGTGATTCCATTGGCTCAGACGATTGCTGATCTAATTAGAGAAGTGTTATGGATTTGAACAGTATGATTTTGTCATGCAAGAGACCAAGACAAGTGTTTTAGAGCAGAACTCCGGGGAAAAATATTATTAAGTTTTGCAGTGGGGCTACCTTTGTACTGCATGGGTTAACTGCTCGTTTTGGTCTAGGTTGGAAAATAAAAAGTTATACTCACCTGATCCTCCGAGCCGACTTGCTGTTAGACTGGTCCTTCCAGTAGCAGTAATTTGTTACTGCTCTATTGATAAGTTCAGGAAGATTAAAAATATGCAAAGAAACCTTTGCGTGTTTCAAAGTCTGAGAGTCACAGCTTGCTGTTAGACTTGTCCTTCCAGTATCTCTCCCCCTTCGCTGCAGCTGTCTAAGGATTTTCGAGTCATCACATGCTATATACTGTTCATGTCCTATACACATTGTATAGGACTTGAGGACGCCGAGGGACATACCATCACTGCAGCATAGGAGAAAAGAGTCTTGAGTTAGCACTGTGACAGCCCCCTGGCTCCAAGGTTTGGGTGAGTATAGCTTTATATTTTAGTCCCTAGATTAAAACAAGTAGTTACTCCTTGCAGTGCAGGGGTAGCCCCACTGCAATGGTTAATAATATTTTCCCCAGTAGTTCTTCTTTAAGTAAGCCATATAATGTCCATATACTGCCAAGGTATATATGCTATTTATACAAGTAATGTGACACATTCAAAGGTCATATGGAATATACAGTCTTCTTTATGTTTTTAGAAACATTTAATAAGTGTAAAGAAACTTAAAGTGAGGGCAAATCTTCACTATTACTAATAGGAACACGGATTTCTGTGACAATGTTATTTGTTGAGAGGGGTTTCCCTCACTTTGGAGATATTTCCTCTCATGTCCTGTTGTTCCTACAGGACAGGAAGTGATGGGGAATCTTCCAAATACAGATGTAAAAAAAAAAAAAAAAAACAATTTTAAAGAGATGTTGTCACCAACATAAAAAAATGTTTTGCAAGCAACAGATACAATATTTTTTATGCTTCTTTTCAGCGTTTTTCTACTCCATAAATGATTTTGTATTCACTTGTATAGTGCCTTTGAACTTGCTAGCAAATTTGACTACTCCAGGAGAATCAATTCCCTTCATACACTAGATAGCCTTCTTGTTTTCTGGGAGTGTCTAACTACTGTCTATGATAGCCCAGCTCCTCCACCCCTCACCTCTCTAAATAACCCTTCATGTAGCTGATGGGGGACCGACGGGAATACTATTAAGTGTCACTTGAGTGACAGCTCTGAGTCTTCTGGGGCTGTTTAATCACATTTAAGATGGGGGCCTTCAGAAGCAGTTTCAGGACTTTTGGGTGACTACGCAAGGCAGACTATTACAGGTAAATAAAATGCTTGAAATATGTACTCCCTAGCACAGCCCACTGCTTAACATGTCACAACCTTCTCCTCTTCTGCAAGTGTATTTCAGTGATGGCCAGTCCTCCGCTCCTCTGTTCACCTCTCTACATAACCTTTTATGTAGCTGCCAGGGAAGGAGTGCAAGGAAATACTATAGACCCTAGACACTCTAATGACAGCTCTAAATCTGCTGGGGCTGCTGACATCACATCCAAGATGGTGGCACCCAACATCAATCTCAGGTCTTTTGGATGTCTACACAAGGGAGGCTTTTACACACAAATAACATGCCTAAAATATATTAAATGTGCACAAATGTTTTTGAACAATTGTTGCTGTAATTAATGGCTTGGTGACAGGGTCTTTTTAAAGTACTGGTTTCTGCAGAGGTGACCAAAAGGGTAGGGAAAATGCTTCAATGAAGCCTGTGATTTCTAGTTATACACCTAGACCTAAGTGTTAGGGCACCATTTTTCTGGGATCTGCATTGTCAGCTTGACATTATTCTGGACCCCTAATATGACATGGATCCAGATAACACCCAGCAGCACGTATGCCAAAGGGGTAGGGAAAATATGTTAAATGCACATATAACCCTATGGGAAAATCAGACATCCCAACTCTCGCTGACGTTTCGGGAGTCTCCTGCTATTAGATAGCGGCCCCCGGCCGCCCGGGAGAGAAACACTTTCTCCCAGAAAGGTTTACTCTGCTCGATCTAGCAAACCTTTCCCCGCTGTTTTTTTTTACTCTGATATCGGAGCCGCTGGCCGCCGTCAGAGTGAAAAAAAAAAAAAGACAGCATAGAAGTGAATAGCTAGATTGCTATTGGCTATTTGAATTTGCAATAGCAGACTAGCTATTGCACCCGCCCACTGCTGCTGTCAATCAGCAGAGGTGGGCCTGAAGTTCTCCATCAGATCCTCTCTCTGCTGATTGACAGCAGCAGAGGGCGGGTGCAATAGGCAGCTTGCTATTGGCTATTGCAAGTTGCAATAGCCAATAGTGATCTAGCTATACATTCCTATGCTGTTTTTTTTTTTATTATTCTGATGGCAGCAGCTGTCAGAATACTAAAAATAAAAACCAGTAGATAGAAAGGGAAAGCATTAGCTTCTTTGCTATCTGCCATCATTTCAGGGGGGTGCTCCCCCCTGGATTTGGGGGGGGGGGTGCACAGGGCACCTCCCTGAAATTACTTTTTTTAGGTTGGGATCCCTGGAAGATTGTTGTTGAAATAAATGGTCTAGTCATAGGGTCTCTTTAACGCTGCCCTACTCTATCCAAAACAAAAACAACAAAAAACTTTTGGCTTTATATTTACTTTAAAGCAGTGCATAGGGTAATAATTGGTAAGACTCAACGCATTTGGGAAGAGCAAGTGTCTGTACAATTGTTACATAAGTCTTCCAGTATGCCTTCAAATTTCAGACATCAGAGAAAAGTAGCAGCTGGGTGAGGATGGAATGAAGTCAGTGCTAAGTAAAATCTTTGAAGAATAGAATAGTACTGTTTGTATTTTTTAGTACTGACAAAAAAATGTGTTTACGCCTAACTCAAAAACGTTTTTTTCTTTCGCAGTATGTTATTTCAGTTCTTTTCTTGGTAGTGTAAAATTAAAGATGAGGCCACGCAGGCAATTTTGACAATGCATCTGACAATGTAAATTACTGGATAGTTTGATCTCCTGCCACAGTATTACAGAGCACACTGCATGCTACATCTGAAAAGATCACAGTAGTAATTTTCATTAGTTTACATAGCACACATGACAGGTTGTTTACATATCCAATGTTATACAATGAAAAACAAACATAGAAGAAAGAAAGAACAATAGTCTGCAGTTAGAAATACACTGCTCATTAGCCTGTATGCTAAAATGCTGCATGTTAGTGGGCAGGCTAGTGCCCTGTGGCAGCTCCGCCAGTGGCCGTGGTATCGCACACTGCCAGAGCTAACACTGTTTACATTATTGTTTTCAACTCATGCAGCAAAAAGTCTAGGAACACCCCGGTCAGTAGATCAACCATGGATATTAATATAGAGTTGTGCCCCTTTCGTTGCGGCTTTAGCAGCCTCTACTTTTTGGAGAAGATGTTCCACAAGATGTTGGC